AGTCAAAATACAGACAGGGAGACACAGACAGGGGGACACAGACAGACAGACACACACACACACACACACACACACACACACACACACACACACACACACACACACACACACGGATAACATGTCCCCTGTGAATTAAAAGGGTTTCTATGAGTCACTAATGGGGGTCAATAAGCCCCTTATTGACCATTATTATTCTCCATGTTGGTTATTTTGTCGTTACTGTCGTGGAGTAAGAACATGTAGTGTGTGTGTGTGTCTGTTGTTAGGTCAGTGAAGTGCGCTGCGGCAGAGTCTCCACCGAGGACACACAATTTCAGGGTTTGAGAAACCTGGGAGGGATTTGCAAACAACCATTAAAAATTTACACTTGGTGGATAATAATTCCAGTGTTTTTACTCCATTAAAATTTGATCTCTTTTAGGCTGATGAATAAATAAAGGAGTCAGTTTTACTCATGGCCATTTGGAGCAGGCCACATTTAAAACTCTGATAAGGGAATTTGGAGATATATTGTTGAATAATTATATATAATATTTTATCTTATATTCATTTATTACATAGAAAATAGACTTAAAACGAAAAATGTAGAACAAAAAATAATGGATTTTTTTGACCATTTACTAAACCTCCCTCATGACTCTGATTGTCCAAGCATAGCTTAGTAACAGTAGCAATCCAAAGAGAGATTTGGATTTCTGCACACAGCATAACAGTGTTCATGTGGTATTTAATGAGTTAGGAGGGTGGTTTGGAACAAAAATGTGTTAAACTGTGTTTATCTGCTTTAATGTAAGTGGCAATCGAGCATATCTGGCTTATTAACGCACTACCTACAGTGGTTATTGAGTGTTGAAGCCAAGGCCAAGAAGCATACCACTGACTAATTCATTTGTACATTAGTGTAGTATGCATTTGTACAAATGTACAAACTAAAGAACTAAAAAACATTAATATGGAGATCCAGTTTAGGCCTCTGTGTCCTCTTCTTTCTTGGATTTGAGGTTGGTTTAGAAAACAGAAAATGGTCAACTCTACCCAAGACAACATTAAGATTCAGCACACATACACGTTAGTTAGTCTTCATCCTTAAAAAAACTTTTGATGTAATGTTACAGGTGAAAACGAGTTGCTGAAAACACAAACAGATATTTAAGATAAGCAGCCAAACAGGGTCATGTCAAAATTAGAGTCTAGTATTATAGTTTTTGAAGTATTAAAACCTTATTATCATAACGATAATAAACTAAAAAGCTTGGCAAGCAAGAGTTGAGTTTTCAGGTAAAAATGAACAGCCTAGTTTACCTTTCAAAAAACTACTAAAAATAGTGGTAAGTTCAATAAGGGTTGCACAGTGGTGGGTGGCATGGTGAGGCAGTGGTTTGCACTATCACCTCACAGCAAGGGTTAGGGTTTGAATCCCTTATTCATGTCCTTAACTGGACTGGCCGACCTGTCCAGGGTGCATATTACGCAATATCACCAGCTCCTTCTCTAACCCACCACACCTTCGCAACCCTGGATTAAAAAACTCTGTCAGCAACAGTTGAGATTTCAGGTAGAAATGAGAAGCCTGCTTTAGCTTTCAAGGAAGCACTAAGAATATCTAGTGGTAGTCTGTCACTGCAAACTGCATATGGACAGAGCTAGAATAGAGAAGCTTCCATTCAGAGCAACATAAACCACTGAGGAGGCAGTTTTCTTAGAATTGAGATTAAGAGACACTCATGACTCATGACCTCAGTATTTCAATTTTCCTGAAATCTTGACTTTCTTCCTGTCCCTGTGTCTCTTTTTATCTGTATGCCTGTGAGGTTTTCCTTGTCAGTGTGTGTGTGTGTGTTCAAAATGTCTCTCTATGAATGTCTCTAATCCTTGACTCTCAGGAAAAAACAATCTTCCAGTGGGGACGCAGGGCTTATTGCTTCTCTGTTGTAAA